TCAAGTGAAAAGTCACATAACTTGCCTTTATGTTGAGATAACAGTCTAAAGAACATATAAATGACATATTTTAATGTTTGGTGTCCTTAGTTAGAAAATGACAGACTTTGATATACAGACCTTTTCAATTTTTGTTTCAATTTTCAATTTCCGCCTAAACTACATGTGTGTTTAAGTGTGAAAAATTCAAAAATTGAAAATGGTATTGATAAAAACTTCGCATAATTGTAACTAATAACTATCTGTGAACATCCTGTCCAAATTTGGTGAAATTCTGATTCTGATTCCCAGAGATACATGTGATAAGGCTAGAGCTGTCTCTTTTGGAGAAGCCCTAATTTGACCTATTTTCCTTTTTTGGTAAGATGCATAAAACATCCAAAAAAAGTTATTTTGCAGTAAAATATTTTTATACAACAATCCGTTTCATAAACTAGACATGTTCAAGTTATAAAAAAATATGGTCGTGCTTTGTTCTACCTCGGGTAGGGGTATCTCGAAAACTAAAGCCTTTTTTGGGGGCTTGTTCCTCTACTTTTTATATTATTGTATTTTATTACCTTTGTCATCTTATCTCTTATTCTGAGTTTTTGGAGATGTTAAGCCATATGGGTCAAAAGCCGTCTTATACACAGATTTCCCCGTCAGATAAAATCAGATTAACTTTAATGTCCCTGAAGGAACATTTTTACTTTCCCTTGAACACTACAGGTCCAAAATTTATCATTGTCAATAATTGATTTTTTCTCCCTTTTGGTCTGAAAGTCACTCTACAGGTTTTCTCATAGTCCCACCTTGTGTATATGAATAAACATTTGGGGGCGTCCCTCTCTCAGTTGCCACAGAATTAGCCATGTGAAGCACTTGTTTATTGTATATTTCAACAAGGTGAATACCAAACTTAGAGAGGGGGCGTTTCTATAAAAGTACTGCCTAATTCCCTGTAAAATATGCATTTAAATTTGGGCTATTACCACAGTGAACCTATCATTTACCCTTCTTACTCTTATTGGGGTTTTATCCAGTCAAATTTGGTTCTATTATCAATCATTTTATTTAATTATTTGTTAATATAAATAACAATGTCATTAAACTATGTTTAATTGACTCAGGGGCACCACCCTGAAACCAGAGAAAAATAATCAAAATATCACTCAAATCAGTTCCAAATTAGTTACTTAATTACTAATATTATTAATAATTGATAACTATATTTAATAACTTGACGGCATTAAGTCCGTACACAAAGCCGGACTTCGATTCAATGGCAGGTACACTGGTCTTTCTGATTGTGAAAGCCGTTGACTGAAGGTAAACTAGCATAGCATTACATACATAGGCAAACACAGCAGTTCATCACAATAAAACAAATGCAGCAGCTTACAACAGATAATAAACAGAATGTGACGTCTCGTCAACAATGATGCATAATTATCAGTGGTTATAAAAGAAACATAACTATTTCTGAAACTATTTCTGACCAGACCAAAGCTCTTACTTGGGGTAACTCCTGGTGATCGTTGCAAAGTTGGTTAGATCGTCACTCTGTTGAATGTTAAATCAACAGACTCAGGCAGGGTTCTTTCGTGGCAGATGTAGGAGGAGGGAAGCGGGATTCAGATCATCGACCAGAGCGCTGCTCTGTGGTCTTCTGAGAGCCGAGTTCTTTATGTGTCCTTGTGGATTCAGGGACCAGTGGGCTTCCTTCAGCGCTCCTGTCCAGTTGCGTTCAATGACGTCTTACAAAAAATCAAAGGAAAGAAACTCTTCTTTTTGCTCGAACCTGATAGCATCTGATTGCGCTCAACACTCCTGAAAATATGCCATGGAAGTAGTCAACTGAATCCTCTGATGCTTGAATTCAGCATGTGAAGAGCTACCTAGACTAAGCAACCTCAGCTCTGGAGTTTAACTTATGTAAGCCAAGAGGAGGAAAGGGTTTGTCTCCTCAAATGCTGGAGTCCATCATATGGAGAGGGTATCCTCTGGTGTCTGCAGACCACACTTAAAGAGGAAGAAAAATGAGAGGCGACTGCTTTTAAGGACTTGGCTGCCTGTGGGTTTACCTCAGGCCTCCTCCAATGAGGATAGAGAATTCAGACCCCCCACACACACACACACTTTTCACACCTTTTTGTTAGTTGCCGTTGGGCTAAGACGCCTTTGCAAGTTCCCTCCAAAATAACTCTAGACAGGCTTGAGAACTGCGATACCGGCCTGAGTCCTTTGTCCAGCACACATGGCTGAGGTCCAACACTCTGTATTTACCTGGTACAGTATTTACTAAAAGCATTATACCAACTTGCCATGCATGTTACAAACATTAAAAGGCACCTATTCTCTAAAACACACTTCCCCATGTGTCTGTAGTCTGTCTACTAACCCCCCAATTGATGAGAATAGTCCATCCTCTCTGCCTTTTACCTACTCCACTTTTCAGAAAATGTGTGCTCAATCTGTCTCTTGGTGTTAAGTAGTTCAGCTTCACAAGAAGGCTCTGAACAATGTGAGAAACTGATCCACAGCATCTTTCTGTCAGGAAAACCTCTACAGACAGCTTTCACTATTTGAATTAGAGGCTCGGTGTTTATCCATTTATACGTGAAAGTTTATCTGAAACTATTCAGCACTCAGCGGTCCACTTGTATGTGAGTACGCCTCATTCTCTGACATCTGAACCTTGACTTAGACTTCTATCAGACTTAATGAACTTGTTTCACAGTAAAAAAAAAAAGATTTAAAGTTGATTAAACTAAATAAAAGTACAGCAGGTCAACATAAAATATCCAAGATGACATGTTCTATGGACTTCATATATTTAAATCTACATTTCTTCAACTCATGTATCAGATGCTTTAATCCAAAGTGATGGACATCAGAGAGTAAGAATAACACAAGCGAGGAGAGAGAGAGAGAGGAGGAAGCAACGACAGGAAGTGCAAACAGCTTCATTTTTTGAGCTTTTTTATGGAATCATATTTGTGCCAAAAAAATCAAACAAAACTTCTTCAATTGCAAACAAAAAATAAGACTTTGAGAGCTATAATCTCACTGAAGCAAAAACAAATACTTGCAATTAAAATATTTGTGTAGTCGTGTAAATAATCGTCCTTTTACTTTTCTTATCATCAGTCCTTTTGTTTACAGTTCCATCTTTTTTCTTTCTCACTGATCAGACTTTTGCTCTCTGTCAGCTTTCTCGTTTGCGCTGCCTGACTTTTTGTTTGTGATTCTGTCAGAAACCTCTTGAGTGGGTGGGCTGTTTGAGGAATGCGTCCCCATTGGCTAATGAGTTTTTGAGTGACAGCTCAATGCCCTGGATGTTCCAGGAAGTCTGACAGACCCATCCCCATCTGCATGAGAAGTGAAACTTATCAACATCAGCAGAGTTTAATAAAGGAGAAAAGACGGACATTAATCAGTGAGAAAGAAAAAAGAGGGAACTGAGATGCGTTCACTGGACAATCCGAGCTCAGAATTCAGAACACTGCCGGCCGCGGATTACCTGCGCGCCAAAACTTAAAACAAAGAGAGATTTTCTTGCAGAAAACAGGAGGTGAGCTTGTGTCTCCAAACACTTGAAGTCAGCGCGTGGAAAGAGAATGGAAGTCTTGGAGTTTTGTAGCCTGGCCTGCTTCCTGGGGGGTCTACCTCAGGTCCCCTCCAATGAGAAGAGACAGGTTCCGGTTCCCCCTTTCTTCACACGTAGGTGTGAAGTATTGCAGGGGATTCTGGGAGTAAGAGTCCTTTAGGTCTCTTTGTGATCTCAGTGAATAACTCAAATGAGGCTTCTCACAGAGATGCAGGCCCAAGTCCATTGTTTGCCTGTCTTAAGCCTGCGTGGCCCAACAACGATATATAACTCAGATCTATGTTCAGTCTGTAGTGATAAATATAAACATTTATTGTGTTCATACCTCAGATGCAGTTATCAAACACTTGTTGAAAAGATTTATAATGAAGAAAAGATGATCACTCGACTGGAAAGTAACTGAGCATGTACGTGCGTCACTGCCCGACACACTGCAAAGTGATGATAATTGTTGTAATCATTATAGCACCCTCTGCTGGTGAAAGAAAACTGCTAGTGTTATACAATGAAACTCAAATTAAATGCTATTTAACTGAATAAATTGAGTAATATCGGCACATATCTGAGATAAAATTAGCCGATACCGATAGCCCATATAAATATAAACATTAATTGTGTTCATAACTCAGATGCAGTTATCAAACACGTGTTGAAAAGATTTATAATGAAGAACAGATGATCGCTCAGCTGGAAAGTAACTGAGCATGTACGTGCGTCACCGCTCGACACTCTGGAGAGAGATGATGCTCCTTGTAATCAATATAGCGCCCTCTGCTGGTGACAGAGAGCTGCTAGTGTAATACAATGAAACTCTGAAATACAATGAAATGCTATTTGACTGAATAAATTGAGTAATATCGGCACATATCTGAGATAAAATTAGCCGATACATATAGTCACTGGATATGCTGAAATCAGCTGATATTATCAGCTGGTTGATTAATCTGTCGGGCTCTAATCCAAATATTAAATTATTATCTGGCATGATTGCTAAATGTTTTTGGAAGTCATAAAATAGATTTTCACTTTAAAAGGTCCCATGAGATCTGTGCTGTGGTGACTTGAAAACACAACTATCTCCTGCTGACATTTTTTAATGCAGACAAATGATGAAATAACTAGATTCTTTTTTGAAAAAAAAAATATTTTTGGGCTTTTTGTGCCTTTAATGGAGAGATAGACAGTGGATAGAGTCGGAAATCAGGGGGAGAGAGAGGGCGCGCGCACACTAACCACTGCGCCACCAGCGCCCCAAAATAACTAGATTCTGATTATTTTGTTTTTTCATTTGGTTTGCAAGATAATATGGAACACTTAAAGGTTTAAATGATATGCCAAGCAATCATACAAGCTGTTGTCCATTTTGTCCAGTTTAGACCAATCAATGGATTCTGAAGCCGGTGAGAGGATGGAGGTGGCGGCTCTCGGTCGGCCTTTCAGACTCGGGATGTTGTACGACTGCCGCAGTGACTTACTCGTGCCTGGTACTGTAGTACTGAAATTTAAGTTCTATAATCTTCTCCTCTCAAATCATTGAATCACTTCATCAAATACCATTCCCATTTTTGAGGCTCTAAAAGCTAATCCTTTATTGCAGTTTCTGAAAACTGACCTTGGTTTGTTCTTCTTCTTTTTCAGGAATGACCCTGTGGGACTGTGATGACCTGATGAAGCATGTTGGAAATCAATCACAAAACTGTAATGAATTTGAGATAGTTGCCTCTGAATCAATTGAGGATAAATCCTCTGCACTCGGTGTTGAAGCATCACTGAAAGCAAGTCTCCTGGGTGGACTTGTACAGGTAAATGGATCAGCGAAATACCTGAACGACAGTAAGACTTCCAAAAACCAAGCCAGAGTAACACTGAAGTACAAAGCAACTACAAAGTTCCAGGAACTATCAATGAATCATCTTGGAACAAAAAATGTGAAACATCCTTATGTTTTTGACAAAGGAATAACAACACATGTAGTCACAGCGATTCTTTATGGGGCACAAGCCTTCTTCGTCTTTGACCAAGAGGTTTCTCAAAAAGAAGATCAACAAGACATTGAGGGCAACTTGAAGTTAGACATCAAGAAAATACCTTCCCTTTCTATAGAGGGTGATGGTTCACTGAAAATGGAGGAAAAGGAAAAAGTTAGTGTTGAGAAGCTCTCCTGTAGTTTCTTTGGAGACTTTTCCCTTCAGAAAATGCCAACATCGTTTCAGGAAGCAGTGCAAGTCTACCAAAGTCTGCCTAAACTGCTGGGAGCCAATGGAGAAAACGTAGTACCAATGAAGGTCTGGCTGCTGCCTCTGACAACTTTAGATTCTTCTGCTGCTAAACTTGTACGTCAGATAAGTGAAAGTTTAGTTCAAGACTCACAGAATGTCCTGGAGGACCTCAATGAGCTGGAAATGAGGTGTAACGATGCATTGAGAACCACCACAGCAAAGCAGTTCCCACAGATCAGCGAAAAGATGAAAACTTTTCAAAGTATGTGCTCTGGTTTCAAACTGGAATTCCAACAAACATTGGCAAAGAGACTTCCATCTATCCGGGGAGGAGGAGAAGAGGAGGCTGTGCTCGCAGATGTCCTGAGGAAAATACACTCTTCTCCATTCAACAACAACAACCTGACTGAGTGGATGGATTGTAAAGAGAGAGAGATCAACACATTATTGTCTTTAACAGACACGATGAAGAACACAGAGGTTGTACCATCTCAGAATGACCTTTACAAAGAAAGTCTAAGAACAGAACATGCTGTGTGTTTTGTTTTCACCTCAATGGGAGTCGATGAACCGTACCTCTCAGCTTTGTCAAACTACTTTAGACAAACACCAGAACCAGACAACCCTCAAGATCCACATACTCAGGATGTAGAGAAGGAACAATGGTATGCTGGTAAGAGAAGTAACAGACTCCATGAGGAAAAAAGCAAAGCTCTTCAATGACTTTGCAGAGGCCAACCAGGAGAACAAGAACGTTAAGTTCTTGTCAGTCGGAATAACAAATGAGACACAGAAAGGTTCGAGCATCTACCTTTATAAAGAGGGCTTTTCTGTCACTGAGAACTTTGAGCCGCCTTCAAAGCCTGAAACAGTCACAGTAAGAGACGTAAACCACAACAGTGTGACACTGAAGATTGATCCACCAAAGTTTGGATCAGAGAGCATCACCTCCTACTCTGTTGAGTACTGTGTCAGTGGAGAGGAAGGATGGAAACAACAGATGGCATCAAAACCTGAAGAGGTCACAGTGGGTGATCTGAGTCCAAACACAGAGTATAAGATCAGGTGCAGAGCAGTGACCTCTGTAGGTGTTGGACCAGCCAATCATGTCAGTGGTTCCATTAAAACCTTACCCTGCAGCCCTCCTGGAAAACCTAAAGTTATACCAAACTTAAGTGAGATATCAGTGAGCTGGAAGAAACCGGCTGAGCTTGGAAAAGGTGTCCACTACATCGTGGAGTACGCTGAAACAAACAAGAGAACAGACAAAGAGGAGGATCTCCAGTGGAAACAAATGATAACAGGAGCTGAGAAGATGATCATTTCAGGGCTTCAGTCAGAGACAGAATATGTTGTCAGGGTCAGATGTGATTGTGGTGCAGCTGGCAGAAGCAAGGAGAGCATTACTGTGAAAGTCTGCACAATAATCCTTCCTCTTGCAGATATACTCAAAATGAAAAGCAAAAGGATAAACTATGCCTCACCCTCAGTTTACAAACTGCCTCTGGAAAAAGAAGAGATGAACATAGATGGATGTCGGAGGTTTAACTTTGGCAAAGAAAACACGAGACAGAATCGCACAATAATGCTTGTGGGAGCGACCGGATCAGGAAAGTCCACTCTGATCAATGCAATGGTCAACTACATTGTTGGAGTGAACTGGGAGGATGATTTCAGATTTAAATTAATTGAAGAGGATGAGTCCAGATCCCAAGGTGAAAGTCAGACTTCTGAAGTCACTGTGTACAAAATCAACCACCAGGAAGGCTTTAAAATAGATTACTCAGTGACCATCATTGACACTCCAGACTTTGGAGACACAAGAGGCATAGAGAGAAACAGAGAGATCACAGACCAGCTGAGGAATCTCTTCTCTTCTCAGCGTGGTGTTAGTGAAATTGATGCTGTGTGTTTTGTTGCTCAGGCCTCTTTAGCTCGACTCACACCGTCTCAGAAATATGTGTTTGATTCTGGGCTCTCAATCTTTGGCAAAGACATCGCAGAAAACATCAGGGTTCTGGTGACGTTTGCTGATGACCAGCCCCCACCTGTCCTGGAGGCGATCAAGGTTGCAGACGTCCCGTGTCCTAAAACAGAAGACGGCCTGCTGATTGACTTCAAATTCAATAATTCAGCTTTGTTTGTGGAAAACAAGTCATCTGCAAAAGGCATGAGGGGAGGGGTGGGAAGCTTCAATGAGGTGTTTTGGAACATGGGGACAGAGAGCATGAAGAGGTTATTTGATGCTTTAAATCTCATGCAATCCAAAATCTTGACACTGACAAAGGAGGTCCTCGGAGAAAGATATCAGCTTGAAAAGTTGCAGGAGCAGGTTAAAGTTGGGTTAGCCAAGCTCCAGGACATAAAAAAGACAGAAGAAAAACTGAAGGAGTATAACTCACTTGGTGAGGCATGGATTGGAAAACTGAAGGTTAAACATGATAATGCGCAGGCTGAGGTGAAGGAACTAATTTTTGGATCTGCAAAGTGTCTAAACAGACTTAAAGAGATCGCACTGAGGCCAGATCCTCTCTCCTATCCAGAGTACATTGACATGCTCATTGAAGGAGAGAAATCTGAGGCCAAACCAGGCTGGCACAAGCAAGTTCAGTCCCTGATGAAAATAAGAGAACAAGCAGAGATCATAGCCAAAGTAGGCAGAGGAGAGGCCCCCCACGTCTAGATACCAGCTTTGGCTTTAATCTTGGTCAAACAGACAACAATAGCAACCAAAGAAGAACAACCTCAACCCAAGAACGCAGATTAAGAGGACTCTTTTCATTCAAGTGGACATAATGTACATATGTAATCAAACAAAACAGTATCACATGTAAACCAGGTTAAAGAGAGATTAAATCATCAAATAACATTCAGTACAAACATTACAGTACAACTGAAAGAAAGTGAATATATATATAAATATATAAAATAAACCAATAAAGATGCATACATAACTAGTGAAAAGGTCTCAGAGAAAAAGGTTTTACAGAAATTCGTAAATGTTACATTTGTTGTTAATTAAAATGAGAATTGAATTCTAGATGATCTAGATTGTTTTGTAAAGTAATACAAGGCAGAATGATATGATGATCTCATTGAAATATATTTCTTTTTATTACTCTATACAGATCATTTTGGTTTTATTAGTCCAGATGTCAGTGGTGGGCATTAACACACTTTTACTTTAGTCTTGTACTTAATTTACTTTTTTCAGTACTTTTAAAAGTCTATGCTTCAGTTTTTAGAGGTGTTTCTATCTGCATTCATTGGGTGCTTTCAGGGACTTACAAGGGTCTGTAAATGCAATGAAAACTACTGGCTACAGCAATTTACTGATATTAGAAAATGTAATTTTTACTTTTGAATACTTAAGTACAAAGGATCTATTTAAGTGATAAATGTGTACTGTTGAAAGATCAGAAAGAGTTATGCAATTGTTGAATTTGTTTTTACCATATGTGTTCTTTTCTTTTATTATCATTTAATTCATATGTCATATAGTCATAACTACTTTCTTTGCTTTTACATATCCTGTCAATCATCCGTGGTGCCTATGCACCTGTGAGGTCAGGATAAGTGTGCCATACTTTGAGCTAAAACCACATATGAACTTGGTGTCACCTGTGGATGTATCACGCTTCTGTGAATCTGCATTGTTGAGGTTTTACAGAATCTTGGAAAAAAGAGACAGTTTGGCTATAAAAACACTGGAAAAGCTGATCGAGGCTCTTTTTCACTTTTTCTAAAGGGCTCCACGTCACTCTGACTTTTAAATCCCCGTTTTGGGACTTAGTCTCTGAGACCGAGATCTTTTAAAACCTCAAGTGTCTACACGCTTGGATTTTAAACTTTTGATTTTGTATTTTACTTTTTTATATTTTTACTTTTACTTGATTTGTATTTTGAAGTTTTTTCAATAAATTTTCTGAAACTTTATGAAACCATTTTTCTGACTGAAGTCATTCACACCACAAAGACCTGAGCCTCTCTTAAGGACGCCGCGTGAACCTCGGGAGGTAAGCTTGAGCAGTCACACCACGGCACACTTCTACTGACTTTTACTACACACCTCATACACACCTAGCATCCGAGTGAGGAGAGTTGCAGTTATTCCATCTCCAGGGGTGAGAGCCTCCGGGGGCTAATCTAGAGTCCTGAATCAAGGATTATACTTGAATCTAATTATTCTAGAAATGAATGTTAGGCAGATAATCCTAGAGCTATGTGGTTATATTAGTCTTCTTCTCTCGACAGGGTGTTAGCGGAGTAATTTTACATAGCTCCAGCTACTAGGAAAGAGGAGACTAGCGGCTGGTAGGGAGCGAGCCCTCACATAGTTCTAGGGAAGAGGAGACTAGCGGCTGGTAGGGAGCGAGCCCTCACATAGTACTAGGGAAGAGGAGACTAGCGGCTGGTAGGGAGCGAGCCCTCACATAGTTCTAGGGAAGAGGAGACTAGCGGCTGGTAGGGAGCGAGCCCTCACATAGTACTAGGAAAGAGGAGACTAGCGGCTGGTAGGGAGCGAGCCCTCACATAGTTCTAGGAAAGAGGAGACTAGTTAACTAATGGGTGGTGAGCTTCCGTTAGCTATAGTAAAGTTATTCACCTCTTTGTGCATGTCCAGGACATGTAACAGTACACATAGGATAAATGTCTGAATTATAAAAGGTATAAGTGGTAAAATGAAGAGCCGTTTGGGAGCTGAAAGAGGCTCTTCATGCTGAGCTGAGCCAAATGATCTGGCTCACTGAAAAGAACCGGAGATCCCATCAGAACAAATTACGTCTTTAAGGTTTAGAAAATAAACACAGTGAGCAGCTTGAAAAAAAACGAGACTCAAGGGCCGAGTACGATATCACTCCCTCATTCCCTCCTCACTATTTAGTGAGTTATAAGTAGAGGACTACATCGTGCACTCACTCTGCAGAATTAAAAAACATTTCTCACACTACTCGCTCACTCACCGGCGGCTGACAGTGACGTGGTGTCATGTGACTTGTTGGAAAATTGGAACCGGGGGTGCGTTCGAATTGTCCCTCCTATCTCCTTTCACTATCCACTTTACCTTAACCCCGGGGAAACGTCATGAGGTTAAGGAAAGATGTTAGGAGAATTCATAAAGGACTGAGGGAAAGGAGATCTCGATGCTCTGACAATCCGACCACATTTCCACTAGGCCACGTCATTAAATGTGACAGGCCAGCGGAGGTTAATGGCGTGGGTGGCTATCAGGCTAAAAGTAAGAAAAGTGAAACCATCAGCTTCCTGTCCACTCATAAATCAACATCAAAATAAATATGACTGTATGAAATTAAATGTTACATTAATGTAAGATATACATAATGTTTTAAGCATACAAATGTACAACTGCACAAAGCATTCTTAAGTGAATGAAATATGTTGAATAAAACTTAATCTAGCTAAAAATGTCTCTTATCCCTTCATTCCTTACATGATCTGTGTCACTTTATGATCATTGTTAATGTTTGTGAACGGTCGGATGGGCGACTCGCTTTAATTGTCCAGTGTGTTCAGCATAAATATACAGAGAATGAAAGAAGCCATCTCCCTGGCTTATTATTTTTACTATAGTATTTATTTAGTAATAAAATCTTGTTGTTGAAACAAAACGACGCTCTCTGCGTGACACATTTGATCGTCTTGTCATTCATCCATTCATTCGGGCTTCTTGTAAACCTCGGATGTGTGCACAAAGCGAGACTATGCAAGCCTGGCTTCAGTCAGCCCTGATTCATTAATGCTGGATTGTGTTCATGGAACGACTTGAGGCTTAATTGGGAGATGGAGTTAGTTTCCGCCTGACGTTTTTAAGTGAGCTTGACTTTCTTTAGCTACTTTAATGGAATACCCCCAGGAACAGAAGAGTCAACACTCTCTTTAGACATTAAACCTCAGACAAAATGTTCACAAAAACTCCTCCAACGTTCTCTGTTCAGACGGTCTGTTTACTTTCTCATCAAGTCAAAACACACACAAGCTTCACAGTCTCATGGCGCCATCTAGCGTCTGTTTTAAGTATCGTCACAATAAATTATACACTTCATGTGGGTTACATATTGTTTCCTGTTGTTGACAAAGGTTGCATGTTCCTGTTGGATGTTTCCCGATCATGAATAATATATTATTCAATCCCATGTGCCCAAAACCTTATCTTGATATTATTGTTTCATTTCATCTTATCAGTTTTCCACCTTCCTGTTCTCTCTTCTTCCCTCTTCTTCTGTCACCTTTCCTTCACCTTTTGTCTTTGCACAGTTTTGTTTCCTATATTCCATTATGAGCTCATCTCCATATAAATATTACTGTCAGTCCCTTCATTTCTATTCTAACCTCTAACCAGAGCAGCAGCCCCAACTAGTGGCGGGTGGTGACACAACATCTGACAGCTTTGGTGCGCTTGACAAAGTGGGAAAAAAAAAAAAGCAACAATTTTGCAACTTCACCCCTGAATCACACTGAGTCCACCGAACTTCATCTGAGAATGCGACCTAAGATGTACTCACCTGGGAGACATTGGGTCCCCTCTGGAGAACAGTGCACCAAACAGTGTGGGCTCAGTTTGTCCAGTCAGACACCACCAGCAGATGAACAGCAGGGGGCGCCACCTGCCTTCACAACACCAGAGCAAACACCAACACAGCTCACCGCACAGAGACAAACGATCAAGTGTTGATATCAACCTTCATTAAATGTTACTTTCTGTTTTGAGGGAACGTGTTGATTTAAAACCATCTTGGATCAGAGAGCTGCTGCAGGATCACATCAACACTTCATGACATTTTCAATTCAGACCAACTGAAGAAGAAATAAAACACCATTTTCTGACTCTTTAACTTTATAAAGGTGGTTTTGACTTCTCTCTCTACATCCATCCTACATTGGAAATAAACACAAGTTAGTGGTTCCCCTAATGAGAGGCCATATGGCCTTTAGTCGACCACACACCAAAACAGAACCGCCACCTTCAACAGACCCAGGCTGGGTTCATGCGAGCTCCAGGTACCCTCCCCACTAAGTGACTCCTTGTGGCCCCCACAACTCAACCGTGTTGACCCATGGGCAAAAATCTCCCTTCACTTGTCTTTCATCCAATTAGTCCCAAGACACCTGGGGACGGCCAGACAGTGAGCTCCACCATCCCAGAGTCCCCCCCTTACTCCCCCACTATGGGCGGTTCTAGGTAGGGGCCAACAGGGGCCAGTGCCCATGTGACACTGAGCTTGGTATTTTTCACCTGGTTTAATGTTCCCCTCTGACAAAACAACTGACCCCAGTTCGGCCCCCTCAGTAAAAGTGGTCTAGAACCGCCACTGCCCCCCCTCCCACCCCCCTGCGTGCTGCAGAGAAGGGGTTCTTACAGTAGACAAAAACAGAACCAACAAGCTAATTAGGAAGGCCAGCTCCATCGTTGGGACTGAAATGGAAAACCTTCAGCACGTCACAGAGCCAAGAATGGTCTCAAAACTGAAGTCCATTCTGGGAAATCCTGCACACCCACTACACACCCTGGACCTGATTGAACAGACAGGACAGGAAGTCCTTTCTCTTAACCTGTGTGCAGGACATTTGTATGAACTCATATTTATTTATAAATACACGTTTGCACACTACAATTTGTGAATTCTAGTCTGTTTTTTAAATTGATCTTAGTATCTTTGAGGG